CTCTCTTAAACAAAATACTTTGATTAATTATAATTTACAATATCACAGTCCTGTTCCCCATCATCTCTGATCTCATTACCCATGATTCCCTTGTTCAGTGGGGACCAACCAGTCTGAAATTCATATTGTTGCCTGCTAGTTGGACTGCTCCTGCTATTCATACATTTATAGTAATAGAGAATATATCATAAATATATGATTGGGCAACGTTATACATTCTAAAATTGGTTAATAATCACACTCATTAGTCCTTACTTGCGCATTATCATCACTCTAGAGGTCTTGCTCCCATGGCACATTTGTCTGGATTTTGCCGTTAGTAACAATGGTAAAACAGGTATAAATCTAAGTTTCACAAATGTTACAATTAAGGCTTCCGCGATATAATTGTTCATTTTACGGCACGTATCGAATTTCTTTATATGGTGAATATCTCAATGTCAATTTCCTATAATTTTATTTTTGTATCTTAAATTAAAAACAAACTCTTTATCATAATTGGTTTTTTACCCTTTTATCTGGCAACAAAACTGACACCTTTTTTACGAGGAGTTATGTTTGCATTGACCACAATACCTGCAAACAAAAAACATAACTCTGATAATGTATGCACTGTCCTTGAAGATGATTGGTCCACACCCGAGACAGCTTTCCTTAGAGCCTAGTCTCACATGGTGTTGGACCAGATGACGCCAAAAGGCGCCTTTTGGCGTTATCTGGTCTAACACCATAAAAGGGTAAAAAATCAATTATCATATTTTTTTACTGGCAAATGAGGTTCCAATGGTGTCAACTCTTTATCTGTCACTAACTTTATTTATTTGTATTTACCACTTATCTTTCTTATGCACTTTATTTTGCACGCAGTTGCAATTCACTCTGCTCAGTCGGTGTTAGCCGCTGAGGCCGTGACGGGTTTCTGTTTGAAATCCTGTTGCTCCATGCCCCGCCCCCCTGTACCGTTCCCATGCTAATGTGATGTGCACTGATACCTCCTCTATTGTGGGTGATATTGCCACTAAATATAAAGACTTATTCATTTGTACTTCATATTTTTCTTGTATTGTTTTAATTGCGCTTTTCCATACTTCCAGTAGGAATGAAGATTACTTAAAGGTTCTTCCATTGCAGTTTACTCGACATCAGTGCCGGATAATATCATTATCCTCATAGCAAAAGTAGCTACGTAAGCTACGGGCCCCGCACTTTCAAGGGCCCCGCGCTAAATGCTTTCAAGCTATCAATTCCGGTTCAGTGATGCTGCACCTGCTCTATTACTATAGTACTATCCTGCCTTCAACTTTTATGAACGGCTGGGTGTTTAACGTTAGCAATTTGTCGTATTATTTGGCTGTATAGCAAATGAAAAAATACAATTACTTTACTCTGCAAGTTAAACATTTGTGTGTTTTAATATTTGTGTTTTTTATATTTAGGGCCCCTTTATGACATACGCTATAGGCCCCGCACTAGCTTAATCCGGCTCGACATAAGCCTGCTCTGAGTCGTTCTCATCATAACAATCATTGACGTCTTTATTGCAAATGCTTTCCGTTACTCAATAATAAATGATTTACAATAAACTTTAAAAATTATGATGTCATTTAATTGCCATACCATCAAGTACTCCACAAAACCATTTTTTTCCAAGCACTAATTCAGTGGATAGTAGTTATTTATTTACAACTGTGATTATCAAGTTTGTTATTTCATTAATATTTTGTTAGGAAATAAAAAAAGTAGGAAAAACAAAATCAGCAACAATAATGACAGTTTAACGATATATAGCAAAACTGTTTAAAGGTAAATTCTATATCGTGTAAAATATCGTTGTATTATCACAGTTGCTACCCTAATTCAAATGCATTGGATGGTTTGCGTTCATATTTAAAGAACAAAAATAGGTGCTTTTGTAAAATGTTACAAATCCATCAATACATTATTTTAAATGACCCATTGGATTACATGTCATGCAAGCAGTTATCTCGCACACACAATTTTCCTACGACAAACGATTATCTTAAATATAATTGTCAGAGAATCTGTCCATCATAATCATATAAAGTCAGTAAGCATGCATGTTTAATTAAAACAGATTTCTTTGAAAACAAAAGGGGAAAAAATGGATAAATGGATAAGCTTAAGCAATGCATTCTACATCTTGGATGCTATGTGGGCAACACAAACTTTACCAACTGGACTACACCTTTTCACCACTTGTTAAGTAACAACATAATGTCATTGATCTCAGTATAATAGACGAGGATTAAAAATCTTGGATATATTGCATTTGCTCCATTGTTTAAAGAATGTGTTATATCTGTCATGACATGAAGACATTTAGATTTGCAATTCTCACAATGGGCAGTGGACCACCCATATCAGTGAATGCCCTCTGGCATCGGAACTAATTCTGAGGTCACCTTATGCATACTACAGACATGGTTTCTTGAGCCCTACAAAGAGTGTGAGACACATTCCTATTCTTGCTTCTTTCGGTAAAGTCACGTAGAAGGGATATAAGAGAATTTGTTTGTTTAATTAATTTTATTTTATTATTTCCCTCCTACGTGACTTTACCAAAAGAACCAAGAATATCAATCCCTGCAGTCACGAAAGCTTTAAATCGAAATTTAGTGGTAGACACATTTTAAATCTTTATTTGAAGCTTTCGTGACTGCAGGAATCCATACTCTTTGGTTCTTTCGGTAAAGTCACGTAGGAATAAAATAAAATAAATCACGACGTTTAGGGCGCAACACAAGCGTCCATCATCAGGTGGGAAAGCATTTTGAATGTTAAGGTAAAAATGCAGCTCTGCAGTTTCTTACATAACGCCACTGCTGACAGAAGGGCCTCCACGACAGGAAGCTCCAGAGAACCTCTCTAGTCGACTCTTCCATGCTGGCCACATGTCTTAGAACAGGTGCGAGTGCCCGCACTTTACCCCACCAAACACGCTTTGACAATTAAAAGTGGTGTACACATTTACAGTGCTGGGTGGATAGAGATGGGGTATTTCAAAAACCTGCACCGTCGTTTCAACTGGGGAGATAAAACCGGCGACCTAGCCAACAAACCAAAATGTACAATCTTAAGAGCTATAGTGTACCTAACTACGCAAAAAAAAATCTCCGTCACTGAATGATATTGTTTTTTTCCCCATGCAGAAACCCAGCTGAGACCATCAGATAACTACACTTGAGAGTTGAGAACCCAGTTTAATCAACGGGTGGCTGCCCAAAACCCAGGATCTCAGTGGTGGCGGCTCAGTATTTGACATGGTATTAGCCCCCTGAGCCAGCCAGCCACCCTGCGATGAACCTAGACATTTCAATTGGCCTCATGGGTGCATAGCCACTTCATGAGCGCAAGTCTTGCTGCACGAGCCCGTCCCCGTGTTTGTTCCATTATGCTTTATTTAAAGAGTGCGACAAAATCTCGATGGAATGCGTTCTTTCACACGTTTCCAGAGTGCCAATTCTTCTGCACAAGGATTTTCTGCCTTTGTAAAGCATGTACATTTACTGACTACAAAGTGTTTATATTCAACACTTTGGAAATATGAATACACTCAGAAATACAATTGGAAAATATGCTTATTTTGATGACAATGCAGATTATGTTACATAGTTGACCAAAGATAAAGAGGTCTCCCTTGCCATCTCTTTCTTCACAAGACCTCACGTCCTTCCTCCTGCCAGAATTGTAACTTACTTAGTCAGTACGTGGCATCTGAGGTCAGCTCTTAAACTATCATTACATGTCTTTGCATAAGCATTTTGTATGGATATTTCAAAGTGCACAGAGATATAAATCAATTCAAAGACATATGAGTAATCATGTTTTCTTTACGACAAATGTCAACCTGGATATCACACCTGGACTCTTTAACACGCCATAGTGGGTGCTCAATACACAGTAATTGTTGAATATTTATTATCCAACAAACAACATTTAATATTAATTATTTTAATCATATAGCATAAATAAATTTGGTGGTTCCTTTTAAAAAATACCTAATCGATCCACATGCATATAATTAAATACCATTCTATAAACGCGTGCTTGGAATTACATGAGAGACAGACAGAGTAACACGTGAATCGGAGAACGAATGAAACTTGTTGACAACATTGAATGTTAAGGAACGTAAGTGCGCGACGGCATGAAACATCATGGCTAGAATGGCATTCAAAGGAGAGAACATGCCCGAGAAGATGACCACTGCAGGGGTGCCGTGGTGGCGAGATGTTACCTACCTCGCCTGGTATGGAGGAGGTTGTGTGCATCAATACCAACCCTGATGTCTGTATATTTGGAGTTTGCACGTTCTCCCCGTGGTCGTGTGGATTTTTCTCCGGGTCTTCAGGTTTATCCCCTCCACATTTAGAAACACGCGTTTAGAGTATTTGGCTGCTATAAATTTCCACGTGATAAGCCACTTCGTTGAGTTATCATTTGTGGCCAGGTCGCTTCTGAAAAAGAATGATATAGCTCAGTGGGCCTTACCGGCGAAAATAAAAACTGTGAAGTTTTCGTTTTTTTAGCATTTTCAGGGGTGAGAGGGATTAGTGGGGATTATTTTGATGGCATGGCGTTAGAGACTCTTATCCAGCAGTGGATTGACCATGGCTGATGATGATAAGTCATAACCCATCCGCTTGCTGGACGAAGTCCTCCCCATCACCATCCCTCACAATCCGGCAATAAAACAATCCATCTGGAACCTGGACATGAGCTGATTCCATCACTCCAGCCCGACAGTAGTTACGCTTGAATCATGTTACATGAAGCATTTGAGAACATACACATATGGTATTCTACACAACACATGTATGCACGGAATAATATACCACATGCTGTGAACACTCATACTGAAAGAATGGAGTAGCCGATTGTAACTTCACGACTCGTGTATGTTGGAGATAAACCTGTGCATAAATGTCAAGCCAGCAAAAGCAGATGGGCGACAACCCGTTGTGATGCGTGCTGTGCAGAGCACGACACTCTGTACGAGGTGAAGCTGGTGGCATACAACAAGCACAGCGATGGCTACGCCGCGGTGTGGAAGGGGAGGACAGCACGGAACCCAAGCGTTGGTAGGTACCGTCACACATTTCTGTGTGTGCGCGTGTGCGCGGATGCATGTTGCACGCATGTGGAGGGCGGTAGTGCAGTGGTTAGCGTGCTGCGCTGCGAACTCGGCGACCCGAGTTTGATTTCCACTTACGGCCAATGCCATTGACGAGTATCCGAACCGGTCATGGGCCTCCCCTAGGTCGACTCAGCCTCAAATGAGTACCTGGTGCGGTGTGTAAACATCACCACTCGGGAGACAAAAGCATCCGGGCGTGATGTTGACCACCCGCCCCCTCATGTGCTGTGCCTGCCTTCATAGGTGCCTGCTAACATCACTTACCCCAAAAATCTGTTGCAGGCTATACGGGGGATCTTTGTCTTTGGGCGAATGCATTTCCGTTTGTGTTTGGGGTGGTGTGGTAGCTGAAGCCTGGCTGGGATGATTGCTAACGCTATTCTGCCTGAAGTGAGTACCCAACATGCCGTATGAATATAAGCATTGAGGAGGCAGAGTCGTTTCTTGGCCATGCGTCAAGTCCAGGCCACTGACACATGAGCTCTGCAAATTGTTAAATCCTTGCACATGTACTCAATCATTCAAGTTAGAAGAGCACATCGTATTTGGAGGTGTTCTGCAAATGTTTGTTTAGCTGTAACATAGCTTTACGTGCCACAGTGGTTAGCACGCTGGTTACAAACCTAGTGAGTGACCTAAGGTCAATTCATGGGCATGCAAAACATTATTGTAAACAGTATTGTATTTTATAAAAACAATATTGTAGAAAACCTTACTGAGTGCTGTGGTGGAATTGTGATAATGACCTACAGTGTGGAGAGATAGCCCTTACCAATGACATTTGGTAAATCATCAGTATGTATTTGAGTGTACCTGACTGCTGATGAGCTCACGATGGGCAAAGCTGGTCTAAAGTTTGCGTATTTACTACGATTACTTTGGTTCATATAAGTCTGCAAGACAATTATCCTCTTAGAATACAATATATTATATCCTTGTGTATGGCAATATGTTCAGGACATACATGCCAATGTTGAGGTCTAACGAGAGAGCTTATGGAGACAGTTTGTGTAGTTTTGCTATTCTTCTATTGAAGGAGCACAGACTACAGTGGTTAAATATGTGGTCCATAGTTTGGGTTTTATGGCCACAGTTTTAACTGTGGCTTGTGTCTTTAATTTTACCATTAATGAAGGAGATGTGCACATTGGCCTGTCGATGTTCTGATGCGGTTGATGGTTCCACCAGTGTCTTCGAGGAATGTCAACGCCAGGAGGTGTGATGTTTGGGTCTCGAATGAGGTGTCTGTACTGGATTGCCCAGAATACTTTGCAACAGTGCTTGGTGAGGTTTGACATCATGTTTTGTCGATTACGCATTGGTAAGGTCGTGCATATTCAATAATCATGGCATAACAATGAAATAACAGGATAATGAAATAGTGATGCTGGGATAAATTACTCATGATGGACTCTGGGCATTTCGTTTTTCTCTGCTTAATAAAATATGTATATGTAAGAATATAGAAAGCTCATCATAGGCGAGGAAATTCTCTCATTATCTACTGGCAAAGATGCAGATGCAAGTCCTTGAGCCGTGTAATAATGCCTGTAAATTGACAAGCTTGTGGATTTTCAAGTCGTTCGGCTAAACTGAAAACATTGAGCAAAAACGCACATCACCTGTCACTAGATCACATCCAATAAGGGAGAAATGGTTCGCAGTTAAGGATTTAGAATCTTGGCTTTGTCCAATAAAAAAACTAAATGTAGATTGATTGGGCAGCTGAATTAATATTTTACCTGCAATGGTGGAGCAACCACCCAACATATATCGTGCACGTAATTCCGAGCAGCTTTGAGTCCATTGGCAGAGTGCTGCTTATCTGAGAAGAGTTTTCTCGATACTAACAAAATCACTATGAATGACTATAGCGAGGGCTATAACCAACACATGTTTTTGCAGTGTCAATTGTATGAAGTCCATCCTACCAAAATTTTTTCATACATTGCAAGATGGATTTGTTTAATATGTAGATATAGCAAAAACAAAAGAATATTTTTTTAAAGTCATTCAATAAGAACAAATGGTTGGTTGATAATAAAGTAAACAAATCTGCTTTGCGAGGCAGACAGTGAATGAGTGGTCAATTGGTACTCATATTTTTGTTTATATACAGGTATGTGTTGCACACTCGAAATGAAGGATGTGGGCAGGTACTCCAAATCGAGGGCAAACACATTTATTGTGGTAAATCTGTAAAATGCAACAGCACATGTGTCACACGCAGCAATCCTCAACCGAATCGCCATTAACCACGTGACTGGTGTACAAGTGCAGTGAATCAATAACCCCGCCAGCCACCCACAGGCCCAACTCCGTTATCGCCTGCTGGTGTACACACATGCATCGATGTACTGCACAGCACGTAAGGACTTTCACAAAACCACACTTTACTCCCTTGCTGCACGAGGACATAATTAAAAGCGTGGTCCATTCCTAATGTGCCACGTATGTATGTATCTGGGTGGCTCAGTGGTTAGAATAAACACCTCTTTCGAGAACCAAACATTGCACCTCCTGGCTGTGAGATCCATGAAGGCGCCGGTGTAACCATCAACCGCGTCAGAACATCAACAGGCGGATGCTCGCATCTCCTCGTGAATGGACAAATGAAAGATAAGCCACAGTAGTGCGACGGTGGCCATCCAACCAAAACTACGAGCCACGCAGTCTGCGCTCATTCAACGGCGGAATAACAAAACTGCACAGACGCTCTCCTGAAGCCTTCCCATGGACATCAGACCTCGACATTTAGCTACTGAACATATTGCCATATGCTAAATTCCTGTTGATATGCAAATTCCTTTGTCAAGGCTCCCTCCTCCTCGAACCCAGCTTAAATATACGCTGCCAAGCTTGGTGGTGTTCATTCAGACGCTGTCTTTCCGACAGCCCTGTTCTTCACCTGAGGAAGGCTGCTTGCGTTGTGGCCGAAACGTCGTGAGAATTGTATTTTATTATGTTTTATTTTTATTATTTTATTATTTCCCTTCTACGTGACTTTACCGAAAGAACCAAGAAGAGGAAAATAGAATGGTGATTTAAAGCTTTCGTGACTGCAGGGATTCATATTCTTGGATCTTTCGGCAAAGTCACCTGGCAACCCGAGTACCGGCGTGGCTAACATCAGTGGGCTCACCGCCTCCACCACCCCCTTCACCAACCCACACTAACAAGCCCAGTAAAGTACGGGCAAGCAACCTCCATAAATGAAACGGCATGTATAGGTCTTCAACCAGTAATAGAGAGACAGTAATTTATTATATTACACCCGTGTACTTTAAGCGGTCGTCAGGACTGCTCTTCCTTCCAATATTAGGAAGCCATTGGAGCTATGCACTTTGAAATCTCGATTGGAAACTAATTTCTTTAGAACTGCTTTTTGTGTTTAGTCTGTTGTCCTTCCCCCGCAACTCCGGTTCGCACATTTTGCTATGTACGGTGCGAAAGAAGTATATTACTCATGGGCAATCATCTCTGTATTTTTCATGCAATGTATAGAAACAGACGAAAAAAACCCAATTTAAATCGAAGATATTTATTTCTGCAGTGCAGCTAAGCCTTTCTACAAAATAGGCGTGTACTGGACATCAATATACATTGGCCATCGGCTACAGTTGTGAATGAGAGGTTGTAAACAAACGGATAACGTGAGGATTTCTCCATGATTCATTTAAAATGGATTATGCGAGTTGAGCTTTACATTAATCGCACTGCGATTAGTTGTCAATGGCCATAGTGTACGTGCATACTCATTTTGGACATTCGATGAGAAAAATTCAGGAATTTAAGGATTGAAGAGGGGATCTAAATAAGGTATTGGGGCATCTCCCCCTTCGCCCGTCATCACTGCCCTCATCAAGAATCATAATCATGCATTTATAATTCATTTTGCCGTCAATACCAAAATCCTCGTCGCCATGATTGTCAACATCATCAACATTATCACCATTATTACTAACTTAACATCGAAGTCATCATCACGTTTCTTCTCACCATTCGTCATCTTTACCATTAGTCCCATCATCGACTTCAATTAACGTCATCTGCCATCATCTTCATCATCGTATGTAATTAAACAGCTCTAAGCCAGGTGGTTGGCAGAGTGTTGTGGAGGGGGCCCCCATGCCCCCACCCACATGCCCCATCCCCAGTGAGAATGTTCACTGCCATGATTACACCCACTACAAACCTTGTTGTATGTGTTTTTTGTTTGAACTTCTTTCGCACCATACATAGCCAACCGTGCTAATCGTAGGTGCAGGGGGAAGGACAACAAATTAAACACAAAAAAGCAGTTCTAAAAAATTCGTTTTCAGATTAGATTTTAAAGTGCATTGCTCCAGTGGCTTCCTAATATCGGAAGGAGGAGCATTCCAGATTGCCGCAGAAGCGCATCTGAAAGCGTGCAATGCAGTAACCATCTTTGTTCGATGGTTAATGAAAAGCCACTGCTGTGAGGATGACCGGAGTTTGTGTTTTTATGCTGTCAGGTTTTACAATTCACAAAGCTGAGTATTGTTACCCTCTATTTTAGCATAATATAACGCGTGTTGCAATTTTAGCTCATCCTTGTATCTCTTACATTGTAATTACAGGGTTGTTTTCTTACAGATAATCAATTAAATTACTTTTACTCATTAGTTGACCACATCTCCCCATATATTTCAGGCGAGTTACATGGTGAAAGGGGTTTAAATGTAACAATTAAAAATTTGTGCTATTTTTTTAAAATGTGGAAATCATTGTCATTTTTTGTGTGGAAGCATTTAAATAAACATAATAATACATTCTAGACTTGAAGCTTTTGTGACTGCAAGGAATCATATTCTTAGGTGTTTTTCGGTAATGTCACGTAGGTAAAACATCAAAATTAATAAAATAATAAAATTATTTTGATGTTTTACCTACGTGACTTTACCGAAAAACACCTAAGAATAATAATACATTGCCTTAAAACCAATGTATTTTGATGGCGAATTACATCTATGCCTTCAGATTCACTGAGTTTGCAATTTTTAATGTGGCTGTCGATGGCTGAAGCCAAGGGATGTCACAAACTGTTTGCTTGGGGTCAGGATCCAATTGGTTCGGTATGATTAAGGTAGCACTACTGTGTTGGCAAGGGAGATACAAAATAACCCCCCCCCACTTCACACACACACATAAAAATACTGTAACAGCTGTGAATTACAGCCCACAGCCCAGGCAACGTTCAGTGAAACCTTGTTAATGTCTGAGGTGGGCACTACCACTGCAGTTTGCACTCAGTAGCAGCATCAATTTTGTATGAATGTATTGACCCCCTATATATATTTCAATTGGCACGTGAGTGATGTTATGGTAGCAAAGACACGTGGACTCCAGCGTGAACTTGTTCTGCAGATCCATCCGTACAGCCCAACGTGCCGCTACCTCCCACTCACATCACGGCCACCCCCAACGGCTCGACCGCCATGTGGCTGCGCTGGAGGAAGCCCCTCTTCTCCGCCGCCAAGATCGTCAACTACACCGTCCGTTGCAGCCCAAGCGAAGTGTTTAATGCCTCATACGTCCTCTATTTCACGTGGTGAGAATTCCCTATTCTGGCTTGCTTTCGTGAATGCATGTACGGCCCTATTCGGATGTCTGTTGAACTTCTTTTGCACCGTACGTAGCTAACCATGCTTATCAGAGGTGCAGAGAAGGAGAGCAAACTGAACTGATCTGGACATGATTCAGAGGTTGATGGAAACAGAGAAATGTATCTCTTACTTTTTGGAAAAAAACAAATATCATTCATTTTAATAATAATTAAATGCATGATATTTGTTATTACTTTTTTTATGTTTTGCATCGCGTGTAAGTTTAGTTCACATGGTAACTAGCAACGTCTATAGGTTAATACCAAATAGTGTATTTTTTGTAAAATGATGGGTCCTGTATTTTTGGATATTAGACTAATTCCATGAATTAGTATTTGTTATCTGGATGAAAATTAGAATACCTGAAATAAAATAAAACGTACACAAACAGATAAGACTCTAAGCTCTGCACAGATGAATGCAATTATTTGCTTGATGGCCATCCTCTGGTCATCTCATAGCCCAAACCTACAATAGCTTGCATTAGTATTCACCATGCTTAACCCTCCTTAGCTTACAAGATCTTTAGACTTAAGATCTGATGAGATCTAGTGCATTCTTGATAATTTGGTCATAGGCATATTTAGTAAAATAAAACATGTACGAATTATTCGGAAATATAGTGTATAAAATAATCGATGTCCCAGCATAGCTTTTAATTATAGGAATCTTTCTAATGTTCAGAGAACAATGAATGTATTAATTTCCTCGACAGCCATTGAGTTAAATCACGGTCGCTGGTTGACCATATAAGATCTTTGATTAAAGTCATACATTTTGGAAGATGCCCTGTTTTCGCAAATGTATTTAGTTTCATTTGCACGAATGAAATACATAAATTTGCAAGCAAAAAACTACTTATTATTGTCAGATAGATTATGATTCATTTTGATAATTAGCACCCTATATGCCAGGGTGTCTCAGAGCACTTTATATCAAATCTCGTCTCAAACATTTTAAAGGGGACCCCCAGTGAGTACCTTTTCAGAATCAGAAGTTTATTTTCTGAGTAAATAATCCATTGTGCTATGCGGCTCTTTTTCGAGGGCGACTCCGCCAGCAAAACAGACATGGCAGCAAGAGTTAATGAACAAGATATAAAATATGAAAAAAATATAAAATAAATCAAACCCAATGAGCTTACAAAACAATAACGTAATTCGCATTTGAATTGTTTCGACCTCAATCATGTCTGTTTAAAAGAGTACAGCCATGGCAGAGTGGTGTTCCCCAGAGAAGACTGCCAGTTAGTTGGATCCAAAACCTTGGAGCAGCTACATTAAACGCTTTTGAACCAAGTTCCGTAGGGAGCAATGATTTCTATGTTTAATCTAAATTGAGTAATTTGTGGGTAATTTCCAAATTTGGCAAAAAAAAATAATTTGCTAGCCACGAAATGTATGCCTTCATATATCACTTCCGTTTTACGTTTGCGGTTTCCTTATGTTAATTAGTTTCCCAACTCGCGATATCAGTTCAATTATAAGCAGATAGGTGGTGCATTTGTATCCTTAATATTTACCTCTATCGGTAACAGTGAAAGATAAAGGTGCAGCCCTGCAATTTCTAGAAGGGCTCTTGTGAACCCATTGAGAGTGTATTTTAGCCTACTCTTCCATGGTGGCCATACACTTTGGGCAAGGTAGGAGTTACCCCCACTTTACCCTACGACCTGCAACCGGACAATCAATTAACTGTGATGAGCTCATTCACAATGCTAGGAGGACAGATGCAGGGCGTTTAGGAAACGTTCCCATCATATGAGCTGCCACGCCAGGAAAGAGAACCAGCGACCTCTGGATTGCAAGTCCAATGTGCTAACCATGACACCATGTTGTTCTCAGTATCCGTTATCAATACAAGATCGTTAATATTTATATTTAACTTCTTTCGCACCGTACTTATCCAACCATGCTCACCGGAGGTACTTGGGAGCTATTGGAACCACGTGGTGTGAAAAAGGTTGATTGCACATTTTAAGCTGCTTCTTTTAGCATGTGAGTTATTATTCAATATAATGTTTAAAACATTTTCAAGTTGTAATTTGTCAAAACTAGACTTTTGTTATATATTAAAAAGAACATTTCACATCATATTTGGTAAATGTGCAGTGTTTTTATTTCACGCGGACAACTTATTTTTCTCCTGTGTCACTTTTTATTGAACAGAACTCCTCGCGTTCGACACCACGCGACTCCATCGCAACTCTCCCGCTTGCACTGCTCGCCTGCTTCGTTCCGCTCCCCCTCTCTCTCAGCCTCTCCACTGCTAGCCTGCTCTCTCTCTCTCTCACTCTCCTAGCCTCTCCACTGCTAGCCTGCCTGCCACGCTCCGCTCGCTTCGCTCTCTCCGCTGCTGGCCTAACACTACACCCTCTGGTAGCTTCCCACCGTATACTCTACTAGCCTCTCCGCTACAAGCCTGTTACCGTACACTCTGCTAGCTTCTCTACTGCTAACCTCTCGCTACACACTCTGCTAGCTTCTCCACTGCTAGCCTTCCGCTATACTCTCTGCTAGCTTCTCCGCTGCTAGCCTTCCGCTATATACTCTGCTTGCCTCACTACTGCTAGTTTTAGCGCACTCACACTTAGGATTCCGTTAGCCTCTCTACTGCTAGCTTGTCTGCCCTCACTTCTCCAACCTCGCCCTTGCCTCCAGTGGGGGATCAGCCATCACCACTGGAGAGGGCGAGGTGTGGCGAGCGGGCCCCGGACTTCTCTTCTCTCCCCTCTTGTCTTCACTCCAACTAACTCAACTCCCTGCCTCACCCGTTCCGTATTTATCCTCCTCCTCATTAAACGCCCTAATTAAGCTGGCATCCTCCCGTGCCTCCCGCACGTGGCGTCCGCTGCTGCTATCGCCTCAATCTGCAGACTCCGAGGCGCCTACTCCGCGCCTGCATTTGCAGCCAACCAATCACGGCTATGCATCTTAATTTGTCGTCTCTCTTGCATTGCTTTCTCTCGCAGCACCTGTTCGCCCTGATGTGACCTCACTGTCCGCGGCTCACACGTACATGCACACTGTTTGCAAAACCCCAAGCGCATTACTCCACTACAAATGTATGCAACTTTACTACCTATATTTTATTTTCAAACACCACTAACACGTGAGTCTTGACAACTGCACAGAATCAATATTATACTATAAAATCAGGTGATGAATTTGTACCGAAAAAAATGAGAGAAAATTCTTTAGTTTTAACATATGTAGTGACATAGAATCAGTCACATATCAGCATAGCGCTGGCTGCTGGTGGGGAAGGGGATCTGCAGCCCTGACTGACAGCAGGTCACGTGATAGACCAGAGAGAGATCTAGGGGATAGGTCATGGAAGGGGCACATCAAGAATCCGGACGTAGGTTCCAGAAAGTAGGCGTGGATGAGGGCGGAGCCAGGCCACTGTATGGGACCTCGAGGTTGTCGTGTGGAGTGGGATCTTGTCGTGCTGCTGGAGTCATTGCGGTCATCTCCGTCTTCACCATCTCGGTGTCACCAGTCAGGCAGTCTACCAGCTGTCCTGACTGGGAACCGTAGTTCATTTAGTGACGAGTTATAAAGTGTTAACAGTCAGGCCGTGCTAATAAACAGAGTGCCTCCTACTCTTAGTGTCTCCAAGTCAGTCACTACATTTGGCGTCAGAAGTGTTAAAGAAATTTAAAAAAATACATATTTTCGTCACGTCAAAGTCGGCCAAGAGGAAGAATCCACCGATAGTGTCCTCAGGTGATGAGGACGACGGGGATGTGATCTCCCCGACAGCCCCGGAATCGGAGACTACGGTGACACGTCCCGAGGTGGAGATCCCAATGGAGTAACAAGGGAGGGACGTCGACCCCTTGCTGCCGGCAATCGGAGAGGGGTGGCGCGAGCTCACCAGATGTCTCACGGGCTTGCTCTCCGTCGCATCGGAGCTGGTGGTCTAGCTCAGATCTGCAAAGCCTGCCGGAGATGCTGCAGCATGGGAGCAGCGGGCAGGCAGCTCGACCGTTGCCGCTGTGCCAGCGCGGGAAACGGCGGAGCTCCCGCTCGCGTGGGCGGCCGCCATTTTGCCCGTCGTGAACGGGCCACTGCAATCGCCCGTCATTTTGCCGCCCAGGCGGGAAACGCTTCCCGTCAAATTTGAGTGGCCATTGGCGGCTCTGGCGGAGGTGCCTTCTCTACAAAAGCGGCTGCCTTTTATCAAGGAGTTTGTGGCTGCGGGGGGTGACTGGACGGCTTTCCAGCGCCATTTCAACGCAGCTTGCACCCTGGATCGGTGGTCCGACGATGAAGCTCTGCGAGCTCTGCCCACGGCGCTGGACAACGACTCCTTGGCGGCATTTGAGGCCATCCCCGCAGCGGACCGAGTGATGCTGCCTCAGGCATGCGCCCAGATCGCCAACGTGCGTCGAAGATTCGTGCTGCCAAGGCGGGCGAAGACCGAGACGCCTCTTGCCTTCCGCAGTGCGTTGCTGGCCTTGAACCATGCAGCATATCTGCGGATGGAGCAGACCGCACTGGAATCTCTGGTGCTGGAGAGACTGCTGTCGCTGGCCCAGGAGCTGGGTGTCTTTCATCCTGACATGGAAGAGAACGACGTATCATCTCTGAAGGTGGCCCGCTGCATCCAGGCCCATGTCAGTTTGCAGCGGTGGCCCACAGTGGCTGAGCTGCGCAGGATTCCCAGAAGACGAGGACGAGCTGGAGCTGCAGGAGCCGGAGCGAGCCTGCGCATCGTTCGTCCGGAGCCCGTGTGGGAGGAAAACCGAGGGGCGACGGCAGGAGGGGGAACGGTAAGGCAGGACCCCCCTTCCAGCATGGAGGTCTCCGATCACCTGTTTTAAGTGTGGCCAGCTGGGCCACATCGCCAAAGGATGCCGTGCTGGCCCTGGATCGTTTTCCTCGCCTTCGTCTTCCTTCCCCCCGATGATTTCCACTTCCTCGGGCCCGCAGGATTCCAGCACCTGATGCCCGCAGACCCACCGGCAGCGCTTTGGAAAGATGGACCGGGGGTGACGGAACGGCTATCACATTCTTCTTGTTTTCTTTTTCTCGGGAGGGGCCACAGCCGTTAGGCCTTTTACACATCATCCTGGATGTCCCCAGGAAGTCAATCCTTGTCTCACCTGGGGGCCCAGCGATGAGGACCCGCTCCAAAAGTGTTAGGTTTCGATAACCTGCCCCTTTTTCATTATTGACCAAATTAGTTATGACGCCTTCTGGTGGGTGGCTGCAGACGCGAGCTGGTCTGTGACTACCAGTTGATCTGGGGTCCTTTCCGACACTCGCAGAGTGCGGCACGCTGGCGGTCGTCGGACATTGTTCAATCCCTGGACTACGGGTTCATTATTGTGGGTTCTCGCTGGAAATTGTTAATTATCCCTGTCAGTTTTATATTGTTCATTGAAGCTCCCTGCTACGAGGGTGAGTGATGTTAGCCGGGACGACTGAATTATTTTTTTTACGAGGGGGGAGGTAATGTAGTGACATAGAATCAATCACGTAGCAGCATAGCGCTGGCTGCTGGCGGGGAAGGGGATCTGCAGCTTACAGAGACCCTGACTGACAGCAGGCCAGGTGATATATTAGAGAGGGATCTAGGGGAAAGGTTACGGAAGCAGCACATCAAGAACCCGCTAGTAGGTTCCAGAAAGGGGGCGTGGCCGGGGGCGGCGCCAGGCCATGCTGACAGTATAAAAGGGGCCTCTGTAGGGGACCTCGGGGCTGTCGTGTGGAGTGGGATCCCCGTCGTCATGCTGGAGTCTTCGCCGTCGTCTCCGTCTTCACCATCTCGGCGTCGCCAGTCAGGCAGTCTACCAGCTGTCCTGACTGGGAACCGTAGTTCATTTAGTGATGAGTCATAAAGTGTTAACAGTCAGGCCGTGTTAATAAACAGAGTGCCTCCTACTCTTAGTGTCTCTGAGTCAGTCACTACACATACAATGACTTATCCAAGTACTGACAAAGGCAGAGATCTTCCGTATATCCTTAACAGACTTTCTGGGCAAGTGCTGTTAGCGAGCACCTATGAAGGTCAGCAAAGCACACGAGGGAGTGGGTGGCCAGCACCATGCCCGACCGCCTTTGTTTCCCTCATGGCGATGTTTATACAACCCGCCAGGTACTCATTTAAGGCTGAGTCGACCTAAAGACCATGAGTGGGAGTACTCGGGTCGCCGGCTTCGTAGCACAACTTGCTAACTGCTACACTACCGTAGGACACACATTCACAAAATAAAAAACACGTGTCAGGTCTCCGAGATATTCCACGATATATCACTTCACTGTTCAGTGCGTTTTGGTGAACGGGTTGAGGAGCCCAGGAATTGTTAATACACCACTCGCCCTTGATAGTTGGGAATCAAACTCAGGGGGCTCGGTTCATCATGCAATGCATTAACCATCACGCCACCACTCCAAATATATTAGACTGAATTTAATACGATTTTATTTTAGTTTTCATGTGCGAATACTGGGGCTGTGTGGTGGATTTGTGCATCAGCTTAAAACTGAATTAAGCATACAATTTAAAATTGCATGTTTGAATGTATGTTTAAATGTCCCGTGTATATGTTATGATTAATGTACTGCTCATCTGTCCATTCTCATCAGAATTCTTCATTTTTCCCTCTCAGTGCATCTGAAATCCCTGTATACATCATGATAAAAATACAGTATGTGAACATTTTGATTAAGTGAATAGGATTTTTTTTATGTTGCTGAGAATGAAACAATTTTTTCATGTTTCTGCCAACTGTTTTCTTTTTTACAAAATAAAAATAGTCCAGTATGAAGAATTGCTATTGCTGCAGAGATCATGTAGAATTTAATAAAGTCAAAATAATTTTGCTTAGCTGACCCTAGGCTAATAAAATATGCAAAAATATACACAATAAAAATACTCGCGTTTGCAACATAATGCAATTATCATTGACTATCATTGCTTATTAATGGTTATTTCCACAAGCCAAAATCCCATCATATACAGCATTCAGTCTGTGCATTTTTCACCCGTTATTGAGTGCCAAATATACTTGCTGCTCGTCTTTGTCACTGAGATAAATTGTATTTTTTCAAAGCAATCTGCTCCAGTGCGAGAGGCAGGTGTAGCAACATGCGTATATGTATTGGACTTATTTTTCCATGTTACCTGGAGATATTGCTCCAGCACAGATGATGTGTCATGTTTTCCTGGGGACCATATCTGTGAATGGCGTGCAGCACCGCGCATCAATAAATCTTGTTGTGTAGTGCGTTTGGCAGTAATCTGGCAGCCAGCGTCTTGGCACGCCCGATGTGACCGTATCCCCTGGTGCCTGCACTGGAGATATCCATAATATTGATTTTAGGGTTCATCATCCTCCCTTGGTTAGGAATGACTTTTAAACCCGGGTGCGATGGGTTTATTATGATTGTTTTCGTGTGCGTGCCATGGTTTTGGCTCATTAACCCATTACCATTAACTTGCATATCTCTCAGAAGCCTCTCTTCCATCTGGTAGAGTTTATGCAGTGTTTCTACAAACACTGCCAGTCGGTGTGATCTCTGTTTGGAAGGGGTGTAGCAGTGCTGTTTCTAGTGTAAATGCAGGTGTTTCTAATGGCAAAGGCAGGAAGAGGATAATTGTTTAAATGCCTCCCAACACTGCTCCATCTTCTCTACAGCTGTCTCGCCAACCGGAGACTTTACACACAGGATTCCCTATACAAGAGAGGGTGTATTGTGGGCTCCTCTGCACCCCATAAATGGTGCTCTTGTTCCACCGCTGTGCTTTCCCGACCCACTAGAAATATGAGCGCACCGCTGAGGTGTGACAACCATTCTGCGGCCACCTTAGAAGCAAATGCCATTTCAGTAAAACCTAATGCTCGTTCATTTCAGCCTTGGGCATGTCACTCATAAAATGATGCTGAAAAGTGAATCATCTTCACAGACAAAATCCATTTTACAATCAGGAAAATTATTTTCCGTGCATAATATCCAGCTATGTTTTTATGTTGAAAAGCCCATTCAATTTTCTATTATTATTCATTTTCACCAGTTTTACACCGATTGTATCCTTATAGCGCTCTTCCTGAAATTCTTTTAAAAATATGTCAGTGCCTCCCTTGCAGCAGAAAGCCAGATGTTGTGCGCATCCCAATTGCTCGAGGAACGTGGAGATTACCGCCTTCAATAAATCCCACATCTGTACGCACTCTAACGTGTCAAAAAGTTGCGTCTTTCGAACATATATTTACAATTGTTGAGTGAACCTATTGTTGTACGTGACTTTTGTTTTTCTCATAGTTAACTCGAGCCCCACTTTTTAGCCTTCTTCATGTAAATTATTCGATCAATTTGTCGAGTTCATTTCCATTGGTCGTCATGATGACGATCCCAGTGGCATATCAATGTTCAGAAAATATCGTAGAGAGGAACAAGAAAGCTGAATTGAAAGAGGAACACGTGGGACGGAAAACAAGGGCAAGGTTAGAGACACTGTATTATAGACTGTTAAAATGTGAGTGTGCTTGGGCAGGGCACGATGGCAGACAATGGAGGAGGGAATGTTTCTAAGAAGGTTATCCACTGCACACGCGGAGCAATGCAAATAATGGTCTTTAGAATCAGTGAGGCATTTCTGGGTAAATGAGAGCACCGTTTTATTTTTTATTTTTATTCACTGAATGGGACCCATGATTTTCATGAATGGGGGAAGAATCCAAATTTATGAAAATGTTGAAAGAGCAAAAAACTAAAAGCAAACAGCTTTCCCCACACTCCATGAATTATTTAATGTGACTGTAAATAACCATGCACATTTAAATGAAACTTAAACATAACTCTGTATTTAGTAGTGTACAACTAAAAGCCAATAACACAACACCACCACCATATAAACAACATTGTTTTATATCAGTCAAGTAGATGACGGCTAATAGAGTTTATTTCTCAAAGGACTACTACAATTATTTTGTCCAATACCTCATAATATAAAGTTGAGTCTTGAATATAAAGTTGCCATAAACTATATCACCTGTATATATGTAAACTATATCATCTGTCTCCAAACTGTCGTGTCTTTCCATGACACACCATCATAATATAATCTGCCATCTCCAGCTGCAAGTCAACAGTTTTAAATGTCCTCTCGTAATGGCGTTGCGCTGCAGCGGTGGTTACCTCTGCTGTGGTCTGGAGAGCACTGCTGTGAGAATTGGTCTGCGGGAACCGTAGCAGATGAGATTTGTTTGGAAAAAAAACAACTCCAGATTTGTTTGTATTACCCTTTGAACAACTATTTAGATTAGTCGATAAACAAAACGTTAAAATTACTCTTTGGCTCTTTCGGTAAAGTCACGCAGAAAGAAAATAAATTAAATGATAGAACACGACAATTCGATTGCAACACAAGCAACCGTCATCAGGTAGAACTAAATTTGAGAGTGAGACAAAACACAGACACGGAGACATACGGACAGACACACAAGCAGAGAGAGACAACACAGAGACACACACAGAGAGACACACAACATAGACACACCCTCTGTGTGTCTATGTTGTCTGTGTTTTGTCCTCCTCTCAAATTTAGTTCTACCTGATGACGGTTGCTTGTGCAATCGAAACGTCGTATTCAATTATTAAATACATTTTATTTGATTTCTACGTGACTTTACCGAAATAACCAAAGAGTAATTCCTGCAGTCACGAAAGCTTCATATCAAGTTTCAAACGTTAAAATGTTTCGTGGATTTTTAGTAGTTTTAATTTCAAAAGAAAATACGTCATCGGTGCCTGGTGATCCGTGAAAATGTTTTTGATAGTGGACATTGTTCGGCATGAACAATAAGTTTGGCAACCACTTTTTTGGCAGACCATGCGTCTGGGTTTAATTGTTTGTCACTGTTGCACCCCTTCTTCCCGCAGCACATCGGAAGAGCTGCTGCTGAGCGGCCTCAAGCCGTACACGCGCTACGTCTTTGCAGTGCAGTCCCACGGGGCTGACATCCACGGCCCGTTTGGAGCCAGCGTGCAGCAGAGCACGCTGCCTGACAGTACGTGTCCCCCTGTACCAGCACCACCCGAGAGCACGGGCAGCGACGATGCGATGAACCCAAGCGCCTGCCTTTATCTTCCTTTGCTCGTTTCTTGTTCGTGAAATCGCTCATTTCCTTTGACTTGAAAATGCGGCGACGCGAAAAGCGTCAACTCGCAACAGGATTTTGAAATTTGCGCAGAAATGCCATATATGTGTTTTTTTACAACGCCAAACATAAATGCCCAGCCTACGACTATGAGAGCAGGGGCTGTTAGATTGTATGTGAAGGGTCATTAATTGGTACATTAATGGTTTTAAATGATCAGAGTAATGAACGGCAAGCTGATATGAATGTAAAACATGTCTTCAGATGGTTCATGTAATGCAACGTCATTTGGATATACATCAATGTGGATATACAGCATCCAAATTGCAATCTAGATTTAAAAGTGCATAGCTCCAGTGGCTTCCTAATATCGAGAGGAAGAGCGTTCCAGACGGCCGCAGAAGCGCACCTGAAAGTGTGCAATGCAGTGACCGTCTTTGTCCAATGTTTTTGCCAAAAGCCGTTGCAAGGATGACCGGAGTTTGTCAAGGAGCATAAGCTCCTTGGACGAGATCAGCAAGGTATTGTGGTTCATTTGTGGCAAGCACTTTGTGTGCAATAAGAGCGACCTTACAATGTATTCGGTCGGAAAACCAGAAGTCAATGCATCTTCAGATGCGGTATGAAACAGTGTGACATGTGCATCAAGGGTAAAGCAGGCATGTATATATACATCATTCCGGGGAAAACACACGTCCATTGCGATTCATTATGTCATTATAGGAATATGTGTCACTCTCAGCCCTCCTGTGGATATAGGGGGATGAGTGAACCCGATTCTGGGGGTGATGTCACCTGCATCTAAATGATTTCCAACAAAGTCACATCGAGTGTCATCCACGCCACGTGCCACGGTCGCTACTCCGGGGGAGCCGTTGTGTGTGCTGTAGTTGTGAGTGCTGTTGTGTGTGGCTGTAGTTGTGAGTGCTGTAGTTGTGTGTGCTGTAGTCGTGAGTCGATGCTGTTGTGTGTGGCTGTAGTTGTGAGTGCATGCTGTTGTTGTGAGGGCATGCAGGTGTGTGCTGATGTGGTTAAAGCCCGTGCCTCTGCCAAAAGTGGCAGCCAGCCCTCGTGTAAGGACAGGGCTGCGCTAGGGTCACATTCACGTTGTGATCCCACCCTCAAGCAGTGCATAATCTTGTTTCATTGATTAAATAAGTAATATCACAGACCGCTTTCGTGACTAATTCAAAATTAATTCGTGTTCGGTGATGCACCTCTTTTGTACGCAATGAAAGGAATGTTGGTGGCATGGCAATCAAACCAAGTGTTTGTAGTCGGAGCTGGATTTTGTTGAAATGTAACGTTACACGTTTTTTTTGTGCGGCTGTTAATTTGGGGTGTGCGGTCATTGTTGACTGCGCTGAGACGATCAACTCGCGTCACTTTAGAACCCAGTCTCATCACACGTGTCACCTACTCAGAGCTGAACTCAGGATCTCAGTGAAACCAGCTGAAATGCTCTCAGCCCCGAGCCTACCTATTCATGTTTTGTTTGTTTTAAATCCCATCAATTGCTGCACAATCCAAATTTCAAAGTCAATTTTCAAGTCGTGAATCGTGATCTCGTATCATTTTGTTTCACTTACCAGCACGCTTGTCTTCCCTGCCAGTGTTTTTCACATATTCCATTGTGGTGTCGTTCTGGCCTTCTGGATTATATGGGGTGGGGGGGAGGGAGGAACCCATGTACAACGTACGGCATATGCATCCTCGTACATATACGGCATATATCACGATCGGGCTGAATCTCCATCCTATCTGATTCCGTTTGTTATTTTTAGAATCCAGTGGATCCAGAACCATTGACGTGTTTGTGCAACCCACGCGGCTTTGTGACTGTGGGGACAGAGGGGCAGGAGTCATGGGGACAAGCGGGGGCAGTGGGGGGGGAGATGTAGAGAGAGAGGCCTTGGAGGAAGGGCAGGGGGGGGGGAGGCTGCGGAGACGGGGACAGCTGCTCCACTGTTTTGTGACAGTGAGATGTATGTGTGTGGGTGTGCCATATACTTTGTATGCATGCATATTATGGCGCTGTGCATGTATGTGTATGCATTTCTGTATGCGCCTCTGTGGTTTTTGTACGTATGTACGTATGTATGACTCCACATATATGTATTTATAGTTGTGCATTTACATGTGTATTTGCTATTATGTAAGCTGCTGCTTTTAGTGAATGTCTACAATGCTTATTGGTCTTCTTTGGGAATTCAATGGATATTTATCATTTAATGCTTAAAAATTCCCGAAGCAGGCCAATCAGCAAAACAAGTTTAATTATTATTTTCCTATAACAGAAACAAAACTCTTTTTTTACGTAACTGATTACGTTTTATCATAAATACATATCATTTACAACCGTTTGTTGCATAAAAGCCTCGTCAGACCGTGTCAGTAACGGGCGTTGTTTGACCGTACTTCATCATATATTGGGCTGTCCCTTCAGATTGGTGAAGGGGTGAAAGGGCAGTCCAGGACTTGTCAGCCTTTGCCAGAAATGTAACTCAGATCACCAGATTAATAACTTAGCTCAATATCCAGTATGCCACTGCTCCTTATCATAGGTTCCACCGATGTATGTATGTTTTATGTACATGTAGTACTATATGCATGAAACTATATGTCTTTATCTATTTCAGGTTCATATATTGTGAGCTGTGTTTATACACATTCGTGCATGTGATATCCTATCACCCTATCAGTTCAATGTTGTTCGACTATGTGTTTGAACACCACAATTCTTTGTCCTTAAATCCACTGACAAATTCTCTCCGTGCTATGTTGGTCACAAGGGGGTTTAACCATACTTCACCACGCTGATCATGGTGGCGGAGTGAAGTGGGCGATCCAAGACTCGTTCTGACATCGCTTACCTCTGATGTTAGCTGTATTCATAATGCAGTACCGTTACGTGTAGATGCACGTGTTAATTGTGCACGTTCACATTTGTGTATTCTGCATGTGGTAGGGGAGCGGTAACGGTGGTTAGCACCCACTGCGCTTCGAACCCAGCGACCTGGGTTTGATTCCTGGCCACAGCTAACACCAGTGGTGCGATCTCAGCCACTCCCTGAGCTTCCCCTATGTCAGGTCATCCTTAAATCAGTACCAGGTGCAGTGGGTAAACATCAGAGATGGGGAGACAAAGGCGGAAAGACATAGTTCTGGCCACACCACCCTTTCATGCTGGCATTAATAGGTGCTCACGAACACCAATGACCGCCATAAAAGTTTTTGGTTTAGGTGGCGTAAATATAAACGACACATTTATATTCACGCGATAACCCAAAAAACCTCGATTATGGATATTGGTCGTGGAAGCCTACGTATTCAACTGACCAAATGACCCGTTTTATGCGGGCTATTGATTGTCTTCTCTGGGTACAAAGCACATATTTTTTACTATGTATATGTTTGCGCATGTGTTGTTTGTGCATGTCGTGTATTATATATGCGAGTGTGCACATGTGGTTGTTCGGTGGATTGACTCCACCACTGGCCCAGGGCCATAAATGGAAATGAGCACCACCGCACATTCGTTTGAGCGGGGACACCCTGTGACTTGTCTTCTGTTAGTGTTCTGTAGGTGAGCAGCATGCATGCGGGGCGTATGTATATATATCATGCTGCATTTGTAAGGGCATAGGTCTCTGAAATTGTGTGCACCCTATTGTGTGCTATAATAAACCAGCAGAGTAAATGCCATAATGCTGTGTGTCGTGTATATGTATGTGTTTGCACGTATTTCTAAATACATATATCTCGTTTCATTGTATGCTCATACACTTCAATGCATTATAATGTACAGTCTCTTATCAAGGCATTAATAGGCCATTGTGGTCGCAGATACATTGTTTTAACCATACTTAGCCACTCTGCTCAGCGTCGGTTCGTGAAGGGGCTGGGGGCCGCGTCTTGTGCAGCCATCACCGGTACCGCTTGCCACTTGCGTTACCTATGGCTGGGACTCGATTCCTTGTGCATTAAGCACAGTGTCACCGTTCCGCCCTGTGTCCCGATGTCCATACTTACTTAACTTATTTTTATTCCATTGCTAGGCTATGATGAGCATGTGTTATTGTGAAAAGGTGCCAAGAATAGAATGTGGGCATTCACATATTATAATCGGGTATGTTAGCGAGATGTAGATGTGTGATTATTTAATGGATGAGGTGAAATCCAGACCAAACTCAGATTCTCTCTCAGATAGATACTTCCCAATTATAATTCTCAAATGCAAGAAACTGAAAGTAAATGTAGTCTTATAGTGTTGAGTAAGGGCTAATTCTGACCAGGAGGATCAAGACACATATATTGAAGATTAATTATGTATGACCTCTAACCTACGTCCAAAAAGACTATAACCTGACCAAAAAGATATCATGCTATTATTTCAACACCACCAGAGGACAGCAGTGACCAGGTCGTGGCAGTGGGAAAAGCTGCACGAAGCTAAAGGTCACGCATATGCAATGTAGCTTTCATTTATTGGCAATGCTTGAGGTCAAAAGTGACCAGGTGGTTGAGGGTAAAGCCTAATGAGGCTTAAGTTCACCCATGTGGAATGTAGTTTTCATTCATCGAGTGAACGTGATGAGGTCGAAAGTTACCGGGCGGTGGCGTATTAAGCTTAATGAGGCTTTAAATAACACATGCGTTGTAGTTGCATAAAGGATTGTTGCGTAGAAACGGACTCAGCCCGTCCACCGGTACCAGCCCGTCAATGGTATGTGCGCACACTTATGTATGCGTATGATGGCCACGTATACATATCAGAGGAACATTTACTGCCAGAACAGGACCCGATGTCAGGAGGTCAAGGCACACAAAGAGTCCTTGTAGAATGTACGCTGGTATTTCGGCAGAGTGCTGGCCATGAATAGCACAGGGTCTCTCAGCCTTCATCACTCCCAGCCTCTTGCACAGGCTCCTGTCTAGTCCCTGTTATAGCTTTGCCTTCGACTTGCCTTAGACATTTTATTTTTAAAATATGGTTTGATCCCCGTCTGACCATATGCTGTACCTTTCCCTGTTTTTCTTTTTTTCCTTCAATAACATACTTTTTGTAAAAATATAGTTGGGTCGTCTTTTCTACAATGTTATTTACCGTGTCTCATGAGTGTCATGTCAGGAGACAAAGATTCCCTTTGGGAATATTGCAGAGCAGAGTGACCTCGTTTCCCTGAGAACAGCGATGCAAGAGATTAAACACCCTTCAAGTAGCCTTTTTAAGCTTTCTACAATAGGGGGCAGACTCTCCCATACCCTCTTCTATGAGATTGGTATCTGTAGTTTGACAGTCAAACATCCACAGTGTTTTAATTCTCAGAGCTGGAATTTAGCAAAATTACATTAAAATCTAATTTTTATTTTTATGTATTTGTGGAGTTGTTGGTGACCAGGCTGAAACCATGAACTTGATACAATTGAGAACCCTGTTGAAACATAGATTTGAATCCAGGATCTCAGTGGTGCTGGCTCATTATTTTCACTCCTGAGCCACCTGGCCACCTCAACCTTGGACTTGTTCTTGTGTGGAACACAGCCATGAAATAAACATATTTCCTCCTAGTGGTCACTCACATGCTTGGTTGCGTTATGGGGAAAGTTTTTGTTGCTATCATCTGTGGATGTAGATGATCTTTTTATATCGAAAATGTGTGAAAATTATTCATCAAATGCATATGTAAGGACAGTACAGGGTGATGTAGGGACAGTACGGCTCCCCGTGGCCATGGTTACTAATTAACGTAACGGGAACAGACAGGGTCACGTTAGGGTAATGTGGGACCTAAGTGGTTGCTAATAATGATTGATGCGACAAGGGTCGCGTGAGGGGGAGCATGGGACCTAACGGTCGTAAATTGTAATAAGGGCAGAGACAGACAGGGCCAGGTGCGATGAGAGAGGGTTTGGGAATAGGGGCGTGGCCAGGTTGTGAGGGGGATAAGAGCCGGTGCGAACCGGGGCTCTGGGCTGCTGTTGTGGGGGAACTGCCATTGCCGTCGTCACCTTTAAACGGGTCGTCTTCATCATCCTGGAGTGGGCACCTTGTAGTCTTGGAAGGCTAGAGTTATGTTGTCTCAGAATAGAGTTATCTAAGTTACCCAAGTGTATATAGTCACTCGCGGTTACTCATTAAGTTATCAGTGAGTCGGTGGACTTTATTAATAATAGATATACATATTACTGAACAAGACGGTGTCTCTGAGAGCTACATTACACGTGCAGCAGTGGTCAGCTGCAGAACTACCTTTGGAGGTTCCACAAGGTCATATCTCAGCTTATGAATACGCTTCCGAACTACGTACGTATTTTGAATTTCTTTCGCACTGCTAATCGTAGGTGTGGAGAAATGACAACAAACTAAACATAAAAAAGTATGTTCAAGGAAGAAGAAAAAAAGAACATCTTTGTCAAATCTGGACTTAAAGCTTTCAAGACTAAACGAATTCATATTCTTTGGTTCTTTCTGTAAAGTCACGTAGATAGGTTCAAAGAAAATAACAAAAAACTACGGCGTTTCGACCGCTTGTGTTGCGATCGAAACGTTGTAGTTTTTTGTAATTTTCTTTGAACCTATCTACGTGACTTTACCAAAAGACCCAAAGAATATGAACATCTTTGTCATTTTGTGTGTGTGTATACACACGATCACCACTTGTGCGCTCGCCCGGAATGTGCGCGTGCGGTTCACACAGGGCCCTCCGATCCCCCCAAAGACATCAAGCTGAGAGCCATGGACGCCAGCCGCGTGCTGGTGTGCTGGCAGCCCCCAGCTGAGCCGAACGGAGTTATCTTGGAGTACGTCATACTGTACAACACCAACCACAGTCAGCCCTACGATGCGTGGGCCTTCTTGCTCAGACCAGGTGAGGTCTCATTCACTCACATTCGGGCCATCCAGTGCATTCAACATCAAAGGCTCCATATAGTAGAGGCGGTGATGTGTGTGTGTGTGCTAAAGCACAGCAAGTTGGCACAGTAGGGGGCACAGGTGGTGCATCAGCCAGTCATCTCAATCAGTCGACCCGTTGCACCTGGGTCTGCCCCATGACCTCCTGTCAGCGGGTGTTCGACACTTCGCGTGGCCTCAACGTGCACATAGTCTGGCACAAGCATCGTGGTGACGTCACCCCGCCACTTAGTAGCGAATGGCGGTTGTTGATGTTGTCTGTGATTTCCTAAAGGTGCAAATGCAATGGAGCCAAAGGTACACTCAGTATTATTCAAAATGTCACGACTTGTTAACTAAATATATAATGTTATTACATGAAGATCAATAAGTCATTACTGTAGTTCAATTGATGCCACTACACTGCACTATTAATTGACTTCTCCCAGATGCCTCGATGATTGTACACTTGACACACAACCTCTAAGGTCTCCTTTAACAGTATGGCACTGTCTGGATTGAGGCCTTCCTCTAGGTCACCAACCTCCAGGTGTCCACGCCAGTGTGTGTCTCGGTGTTGTGCACTCCATTCGACACCTGCAGCCATGACCATCTCTTCTCGAATATGTTGATAGTCGTTTCTTGTCACATGCTATTTGAACGGTCCAAGTTGCATACTCGGTTCTGCCATGTAATTGCAAGCATCCTCTCTATGCACCTACACCCAAGAGTCAGATGATTTTTCCCACTTGCATTATTAGAGTCTAGCTCTCTGACCCATCCAGAAACCCAGGCTCTTCTATAGTATGGACATCACAGTCAGTGCATTCCAGAGTCTCTGAGCAGTGCAGTGCAAAGTAACTCCACAGGGGAACCACCAACTGCAGACCATAGTTTGAGAAGAGAATTAATGATGGCTTGTATGACTTCAACAGATCACAGATAAAAGTCAGTACTCAATCATTCATGATGGTGGGCTGTTTAGGCTCTTTAATTATCATTCCTGTTGTCACTGCTTGATATAGGGTTTGCACATTCCACTACCATATCCTCATATCTTAATTTAGACATTACCATTTTTAGTACGATTATTGTCACCATCTTCAACATCATTGCAATCCTCATCAACAAATCATCAATACATTATTGTCATCCTCAACATCATCAATCAATCGTTTAGCTCCTGCGGTGACCAATAATTATCGGTGTACCTCACAAATAGATAATAGAGAAATTTACTCTGCGACTCTTTTTATCCATGCTCAACCACTTCTGGATAATTCCTCTGATCCATAACAAAACACAGACGGTAGGAGGAATCGTTCTGTGGAAATCAGTTTTAGTGGTTCGACCTTGACCATGCATAATACAAGTCCTGGGTAAGAAGTGTGCAGATAAGAGTTGTTTCACCGCTATATTGATAGAGGCAAAGCACATACGTATTACTATTGACAGTTTCAACTCCAGGAGGTGACTGTAACAGCCAATAAATGGTTAAACTGGTTACATGGTGGCCTATGTAATACCATTCGCTAATGGTTGTTGTTACGGCATTAGGGTTGTATGGTTTTAGACAGGCGTTTCTGTAGCTAGATATTTTAGATGATGCCTGCTCAGGATATTGTCCTTCTCTCAAGATGAAGATAGGGGGTTGGATATTTGGAGTCGAACCACTGGTAGGCAATTGATATCCATCAGTGGCTATTTATAGCAACAGAAAAACGAATAGTTTCCGGTATTATACATTTCATCAACAAACATTACGAGGCAAGTGGCAACTGCTCAGGGTCCTACTAACTACCACAACCTCATGTGAGTTTAGGTAAGATGCCGCTTGCTGGCTCAGATATTGCCCAGATTAACAATGTTTGGCAGTTCACTCAGGTGCTGTGGTGGCTGTAACGAGTGCTAGTGGACATTGTTTCCCCAGATGAAGAATCGGGGCTGGGTGATAGCAAGGGGACTGAAGCATAGGAATTCCTTCTGTTATCCGCTTTGTCTGTACGTAAGTGCTGCCACAGTCACAGCGATGAATACTCCCATTGCTCACATGACCTGTGGACAAATCATGTTCATGATTGTTCTATTTTGGATTACTGTATTTTACGTGTATTGAGCCAGAATGACGAGTAATCATGGTTTCCAATGTGAAAATAGGTTCATACCAGAAAAAAACTAGTTCTTGCACAAATTCCATGTATGAGTGTCTCAGCCTGTGGTCATCGTTGGCTACAAAATCATAGTAAATATTTCTCTGTCGATGGTGGGTCTCCTTAGGTTTTGTAACTTAGAAGTTGATAGATTATGTAAAAATACTTTGTCTTGTGTTGAGATGGTTGTGTTAACCATAATTCAACTGGTAAAAATATTGATTTGAAGCCTTCGTGACTGCAGGAATCCATACTCTTTGGTTCTTTCGGTAAAGTCACGTAGGTAAAAAAAATGATCACGACGTTTCGATCGCCACACAAGCAATCGTCTTCAGGTGGGAGAGAGAAGCAGGCTGCTGAAACAAGTCTTCGGTATAGCCACGTAGATAGAACAAATATTACAAATAATAACAATATCACAAGATAGGGGGCTGGATATTATTTTTTATTATTTGTTCTATCTACGTGGCTTTACCGAAAGACCCAAAGAATATGAATTCCTGCAGTCATGTATGTATGTTGAACCTCTTTTACGCTGTACGTAGCCAACCGTGCAAATTGCAGTCATGGATGAAGGGCAGCAAACTAAACACAAAAAGTCAGTGCTTAAAGGAATATGTTTTCAATATAGATTTAAAAGTGCATAGCTCCATTGGCTTCCTAATATCGGAAAAATGAGACTGAAGCAGAAGTGAAAACCTGTCGCTATGCATGGCATAAGGGAAAGGTAGCTGGCGTGTGGCCGTGTGAATGTGGGCAACCCTCTATCGCTTTCAACTGCCAGAGAAGCAACATATAACAAATGTTCCCTAAAAAAATGGTGACCTTTCACCTGCAGTGTCACGACCACCGCTTGCAGAGCGCAACACCATTAGCATGACTTATCTCACGAACCCATAATGTGCCGCGTAAAGGGATCATTTATGCTCGCACATCAAATTACTGCTGCTTTTATCACGGGGCTCTGAAGGGTTGGTATAAAGTAATAAAATGTTTTCTCACGGTAAAGTGTTTACGTAGGCCAAGCACAGAACACCATTTTAGCATGACAGACATTAATGTGCATGCACCACACTGTATACAGAGATAAGAATAGAGAACACTGAGTGCCAATGATAAGGATGGTACGGCAGTTTCATCTTTACCCATATTTATACAAGATATAGTGCGCAGATATGTATATACTGTTGCACGTGAGTCAGCACATTTGTTCCCGTGTGTTGAAGTGCATAAGATATGCTTATTAATGACCTCTCCAGTTGTTCAACTTGGTAAAGCTATCGTGGACCATGAACAAAGGCACAGCGTGAGTTTATGGCTCTGCAGGCATGGGTTTGTAATGTCAAACTAATCATTGATTAACAGAAAATATCGACATTAATAATAATAATAATCACCACAAAAAGGCTAAACCTTGCTGTTATAAATGTCCAAATGATGGGCCACTTTCATGAGCTATCATTTGTGTCCAGGTCGCTTCTAAAAAATAAGTTAAATCCTTAGTGGGCTTTGCCTGGTAGGATGGGGATGGTTTAGTGTTATTTGTATGTTTTTGGGTGATATGTTTACCTTCTTGTACTTTGCACTACTGTCATGTTTTTGTATTGTTTGTTGTTGTTACGTGTTTACCCGCCTCTACTGGACATCTGTGAAAAAGAGCTTTATAGCTCATCGGATTCCTCCAGTACAAATAAATATTCTGATTCTGATAAAAAAAATATATATCATACAGGCAATCTCTTGTTGTTGTGCCTCACAGCAGGTGTGAAGGTGTGTGTACACAGGAATTTCCTGTTTGGATGTTGAGATTGGTCACGTGACGTTACGATTTGACATCCTCTAAGCCATGTGGCAGGGTATCAGACATTACACAGAGTACAAAATGTGGCACAAATAGCGTCCCAGTGAAGACAGGTGCAACTGTTCATTGTGGGACTTTAAGAAGCATTGTCTGTAAGATGGTTTATGTTCTTATAATACTGGGAATGCTGTTCTGTTAGAATGGTCGTTATAATGCTGTAAATGCCTTTATAATGCTGTTAAATTGTTATGACAAATATGAGGCCTAGTTAACAACGAAGCCTGCCACTTGCCTTATTGTGGATGTTACTTGTAATTGAATAAGTCGAGTCACACTTGTACCCATGTAACCTTATTGCGATCTTGAGAGCAAGGATGACGAAATATCTCATCCACAGTTCAGTGTTATGTATAGTGCTGTACATTTAGGCTGCAGTATGGTGATTACACGATGTGCCCTTATTTAACACAGTAGCTTATTCTCTTGTATAGCTATTCAGTACTAATGTAGGTGCCTGGTTCATCCAGGATCTATTGTTGAGTTTCATGTTATCTAAGACAGTGTTATCATGATGTAGTGTTCATTCATTGTATTAATATTTCCAAGTATTAACAGATGCTGTATTTGTGCTGTGTTTTTCCATCAGTTTTACCTCGTTCAATTCATTAATTAAGTTTGGAGTCGGATGTTCACCCTGGCTCTGAAGGTTTATTGAATGCGAGGTTATCTACTCGGATAGTGGTGCAATGCAGCGCACAGCGAGGCCGAGACATTTGTTATCCATAGCTTTTTTTTTAAATCAAGTATTGTTATTTTCTGCGGGACCAGGACAAACTATGGTTGTTCACTTTATCCAAGAGCAAAAGTAGCCAGGGACTCGTAAAAATTGGAAGGCTGCACATAGTCACTTGGGCAAGATGAAGCTCTGAGAGGGGACCGCATCTTGTCTGTGTTGAGTATGCGCCGTGATATACAGGAGGTCGTGGATTTGATCATGGGTTTGATCCCTACCCTGATGCCTGTATG